TCTTCCCCTCCAGCGACCAACACGAACCTCATCGGAAATCCCCTACGAGGTGCCCTGGTACCTATCTAGCTGATTCATTAAAACACCTTACGGGGTCTTGACTCCTTAGTTGTCTTTCGGAGTGGTTGTTACCTCCTGAGTTGCAGAATATCCCCTAGTTACGCCTTCTAGGCGTGGCCTCTTCAACGAGGGTGTGGCTTCCCACGCGCTCGACGAAGCGGCGGTTCCACATCGTTGCATACTGTAGGACACCAATAATTGCTGTGATATTAGTCTAAAATTTCCTCTTCTTCTCCCCTTCCTCAACTGTGGCCTCGACCGGTTCGTTCGTGTGTGCAATGAGGTTCTCATTTGGATTTCGTTGTGAATTGTTTTACTGGAATTGCACGGGTTTCGCCTCAAATTTGTGATCTGTTGCGATTTTGTGTGTCTATTTCTCTGCTTATTTGTGGGCGTGGCTTCTTTGAAAGAAGTTTTGCCTCGTCCCCACAACTGGGAATAATGCTTTAATCTCTCAGAGTTTGCTGCATTTGATAACACTGATTGTTTACTTGTTTACAGTTGAACTAAAGCGGAAGTAAACAATAAATGAATGTCGTTCTTGAGGTGTTCTTGTCAAACTGCGAGGTTTACTTACCAAAAATTGTTCCTTGGCACTGGAAGGCGCGCTCGATACGGTAGATTTGCAAAGTATTGAAATGGAAAGGGTCAAGTGGCATGCTTAGGACGAGTCCACACTTTTAGCCCTACCCAGCATGGAGGATTTATCCAGAATACATAAGACGACGCGGGCCGCCCACCGCGTCAAATCAGTTGTGAATACAATATCCTACGGTATGTGGGGGTTCAATAGTGCCGAGGTGGCCCTAGGCTGGTGGGCCGTTTGCTGCAGACGCCGCAGCCGTTCCGTACGAGTTTTCGTCTCATAATTCCTTTCACCAATTGTCTGAAACGATCACGATGGACGCGTCCCACAGAATGTGTAGTCGAACTATTTAAACTATGGCAATCTCTTGCTCAAAGAAACCCATGGTATGTAAGTGATTCTGAAATCGCCGCGCCGTTCGCCGCGCGCGACGTGAGCGGCGTTGAAGAGCTCAAGGAAGAATCGTCCGTCTGGCAATAAGCCATTGTCCCGATGCGTTTCACTTAACGAAGTTTGTACGTATTCTCCTCTTTTGTACTATACTCTGCGAATCGCACGCACACCCGCGTATCCAACGGAATGCAAACAGGCCGTGGAGCGCTTCTTTAGAAAGTTGCTGCGGGCTGCGCTGTGCAGCGGATATTTCGTTTTGGGACATTTGTAAACCTATGCACAAGGCGGTGACAGGCTGTCCAGCGCAAACGAGGGGCAGTGCTTAGTTGGAAGACTATCTCTGAAGAACTATTACATACTACCGTCATGTTCGAATGAAATGGTGCACCACCCCTCTCGTCATCCGGTATGACTTAGGGGCCTACCTCGCATCCGAACGATTGTGACACACATCGCCAAGGGTTTTTCACAAAGATTTCTCTCCTAGGACCTCTCATTTTTATATTCTTAGCTCTTCGTTTCGTTTTTCAGAAGGTATTACAATTATTCACTTTGGCAATACACATCCTCAAGCAAGGATAGCCTTAAATTATATGAATTCGAAAAAATAGAATAAATCACCAATTGTTGGTGCGAAAAAGATAAGAGGATGCAGAGGAACAGTTTCTATTGTCGCAATCAACGGGACGGTGTCAGGAGGCAGATGAGCAGTGAGCTCACCCGCGTTTCCTACCCCTGGGTGTTTTCTTGCCGAGCCGATCCCTATTGATAGAATTCGCGGCAGATTGTAGGTTCGTTCCCCGCCTTCTCACACCGCCCCGACTGATTGCGACGATATCAACTATACCCGCCGTGATCTACAAAGCACTAAATTCACCATTTTCGAACTCACTGAAAACTACTGGAGCAGAATCCAGTGGTGTGAGTAGTGGTGCACAAATAAAACGTAAAATGTGCTAAATTTGGCGTCAATCATGAAGCAGCAAATCAGCACATCGAAGGCGCTGTAAATATCATGAGCAAGAGTTCTTATGAAACTGATCTGAGGTATTGAGGTAGTGATTTCGAATAACTGGTATGGATAGCATGAAGAATTCACGTCATTACCATACATCCGAGGCGCAGATGGTGCCTGTCATGTGCCACGCTTACCACGCGCGTAATGCTGGGGTCCAGTCCCTGCTTGGCTCCCGTGCACGCCAACTAATCCTTGAGCACTTTGAGAACGGTGAATTGGGCCACATCCGTCTGGGAGGATTAGAACACTGGCAGGCACAATGTCTGGCTCCGCAAGTAATTGTGTAGGTCATACCGCATTCAATAGGAACCACGATTCTGAGTGGAAATAGAATGCGTGCTGCATTCAACAAAAGAATTGATGTATGCGGAGATCTTATCCTTTTCCCTTTGGTCTTATATCAAATGCACTTTCTGGGTTCTCTGATTTGATCCTTCCCATCACTGACTTGAACAATCAAGCGAATACTAGTGCGTGGCGCATTCCAGAAGCAATTCCAGAAGCAATCCTTTGCAGAGTGTTACTTCTCAGTTGAAGCAACTTGTTATCAGGGAATGATAGCACCGATCAGATCAGATACCAAATCTCTTATCATCGTGATCTGCAAGGATTATCAATATCAGTTCCACTCTGAGCGATCAATTTTGTCCAATCAGCTGCCACTCGTCTGTTCATCTCATATTGATTTCATTCTCATTTCTCAGCTTTTTTTTGCTTCTTATGTCCTAAACCCCTTTTCTCTTGTTTCCTGCTCGTCCCGTTCTAAAGTTCTGCTCCAGTAGCCAAACTTGTTCGGACAGTTGATGATTTCGATAACTTCGATGACGGCTTTTCAAATGATCGTTGTCGCTTCATAACTGATGATGTCGGGTATGTGACAAGAGAATCGTAATTCACCGCGCTGGTGGGCGTCGCGTGCGACGTCGCGCCCGCAAATGACGATGGTTCCAGGTAGTAGATGGCGACAACAGGCAATTCAGAACCGAAAATCTGTCTACGATGACGGGTTTACATGAAGTCCGGTGCTCCAATCGACAGGTTAAGTGAAGAAAACGCAGCGCCCATCACCGCGCGCGGCGGAGCGACACAATACG